GGGGCCAGGTGGGGGGCGTGGGTAGGGTCTGGGCGAAGAATTTGTCATTCGTGGTCCCAAGGCGGGGTGGGGGTGTCGGATCAGGTCGACGGCGGGGCGGTTTGGGGCGAAAAATTGTCGGGTGTGGTATCCAGCTCAGAAGGATATCGCACACGCCTCTGGGGTCGGCGGATTTGCTAATCAGGTTCACCATATCAGCTGTGAAGTTCTTGAAGAAGGACGTTGCCATCTTCTTACCTGTCGAGGGCCTCAAGGAGTGCTTCAGGTATGCAACCTTCATCTCGTGCCTTCGTTGAGCAGACCTGCCAAGCGAGCTCTTCTACGGCGCATTCGAGGTCGGCCCCTCGATCCGCGCTGTGCGATGGTCTTCCTGGCAGGCGACTTTAACTTTTACGCCACACAATTATCGATCGACTTTGATAACCTGTTTCCTGATTTATGCGAAGTCGAACAGGATCTACTTACTCGCACGGAGGAAGGTGGAGGAGAGATTGTTTCGATGGCGAGGTTGGATCGAATTCACGTTAACAGTTTTCCTGCTGTTCTAAAAGAATTGCAGCCTGGGACTGGGGCCGCGGGCTTCGGGGACTCCGAATGGCGTAGCGACCGCGCGCCCGTATTCCTCGGACTTGGCGAGCGTCGAGCGCCTCGCTACGAACATGTTCCCGCCAGGCTAGCTAGAACGCCTGAATATAAAGATGCGGTGGGGGAAGTTTTGAAGGGGGTTTCTCTGGATGGGGAGGTTGGAGATAGACCTGATCAGTATAAACGCGTTTTATACGAAGCTGGTTCCAGAGCGAGGAAGAAGAGGGGGGAGAAGGGGGCTCGGTCGATGCACGGCAAAACGAGTTGGGCGTTTGCTGTTCTTCGGGCTGTTCGCGAGCACGTTCGAGGAGTGCTTCGTAGAGCTGCGCGTGTCTATCCCAAGCTAGGCCAGTTTGTCGACGCCGACGAGTGTGTCTGGGTGGACGAGAGCGCCTTCCACCGTCATCTGCAAGTGCTCACTCTTCAAAGCCTCCAGGATGAAGAGCTCGAGGCCCTCCAAGGGTCGCTCCCCCAAGCCTCCAAGGACGCCCACCTCCAGCGCATCAATCGTCTCCAACAAGCCTGGGCTAAGGTTCGAAGAGTCGCACCGTTTATAGGGATCTACGACGGCCAGCTGCAATAAATTCGAGAGCTCTCCGCGCGTGCCAAGCATCTTGCCGATCATTGTGGGGGGGGGGGGGGGCGCAGAGGAGCGGAGCCTGCTGCGTCTGCATATGCCGCGTTTGATAGATTTGTGCAAGATGCCCCTCGGCGCATAGAGCGGAAGCTCTGCCGTGCAGAGTTTTTCGAGCGCATCGGCCGCCTGAACGATTCAGCTCCTGGAGGGGGGTGGAACTCCTTACAGCTGTTGGAAGGTGGGGGAGGTTGGGAAGGAGCTCCTTTACGAGATCTACGAATTGCTCTTTGACCGCGGAGAGTTGCCCGACTCATTTAACGAATGCCTCGCAGTGTTCTTGCCGAAGAGGGAGGAGGAGAAGGACAAGGAAGGGGCATTCAGAACGCCGGCGTGCGCGAGGCCGATTTCGATTTCAAATTCGTGTAACAAGATTATAGCCAGTGCTATCGCCCCTCCGCTTGCTCGAGTTGCTGTTCATACAGTCGCTTCCTGCCGGCGCGGGTTTGTTCCTGGCCGCCAGATAGCAGGCGACATTCTGGACCTTGAGGCAGCGCTGCTCGAACATGGGGCGATCTATAGCTCCAGGAAAACAGGGTTGTGTTTGTTTGACGTGAAGGCGGCTTTTCCCTTTGTTCACCACGCTTGGATATTCCGCGTTCTTGAAGCCGTGGGATTGCCGCCGCAGATCGCCCATGCAATCCGCGCTCTTTACGCAGATATCCAGGTGATAGTGCCCTTCAACGTTTGTCGAGACCATCGATTTCAGCTTCAGCGAGGGATGAAGCAGGGGTGTCCGTTGAGTGGAGTAATTTTCCCGTTGGTAATGGATCCGATTCTGAAGAGCATGGAGGAAGCGCTTCCTGTTCCTGGGGTTCTCAAAGCTTTCGCCGACGACGCTGGCCTCGAAAGCGAGGACCTGTACACGTGCCTCCCGCCGATTTTGAAGCTATGGCGCTATGCGGCTGGTGCTGCAGGCCTTGTTCTTAATTTGCAGAAGACTGAGTTGTGCTTCCTGTTCCCCCAGAATGACATTACTGCTGAATTTCGATCGATGGGGAGTTCGGATTCGTCGGATTCGCGTCGTTCCTAACGCACTTTATCTCGGTGTTCGACTGGGGCCAGAAGCACATCTCACAGTATGGGATAAGTCGATTGCCAAATGCCGTGCTAGGGACGTCCTCATTCGGGCTCTCACAATATCTCTTGTGGGGAACATTGTGGCCTATAACACGTACGACATCACTGTACTTTCCTACACCATGCAGTTCTACCCTCCTAGCCATGAAGCCTTGAAAAGAGAGGGAGAGAGGGGGGGAAAGAGAGAGAGAGAGAGAGAGAGAGAGAGAGAGAACAAAGAGAGAGAGAGAGAGAGACGTAGTCCAACTTCTCACTGCTGCTCCGAGGTTTTCTATCCCTTCGGACATCCTGCGCGATTGCAAGGATCTATCATTCAGCGCCGAGGTGCGGAGCTTCGACCTGGTTAGCGAGGCTGCCAGATATCGTACTGCGTTTTTCTTTTCGGCGTTCCACCGTGGTCGGGAAGCTCTGGCTGCCGCAGAAGATAGCATCGACAGAACCTTGGTACCGAGTCCCCCCAGCTGGCGAAAGTCGTGCATCATGTACCAGATGATTGAACTATAAGACAGAGTCTGGCAGATTCCTCGAGCCCCCCAAGAGCCTTGCAAAGGACTTCAACATATATCTGAGCGTGCCCTGAGGCCTCTGCATTTCTGTAACTCTGATGCGAGTAGATTGCCCCCTAGGCTCCGATACTGGACCCCTGAGGCGCCCACTTCTGAGGCCAATGATTTTGTTGTATAGCTGCGGTTATTGAACAAAGATCTCCCCGAATTTATCGGCACTCGTGTTCTCAAAACTGTTTGTAACTCCTGGTGCACCTCCAAGCGGTTCCGACAGGGGGCCTTGCAGTGCCGTCTCGGTTGCGTGGCCATCGGGGGCGATTCCATTTCCCATTATCTCACTTGCCTTGTCTTCCTGGCCTCTGCCCCCCGTCTTCCCCCGTCGCCCCCCTCTGACTGGGCTCGGCATTCCTTTGAAGATCGTGTGCTCATGCGCAAATGCACGTGGTCATCTGGCGAGCATCTCCAAGCGCTCGCCGCCTCCTTCGATTTGTGTCTCAGCGCGTTCAACAGTCAAAGAATTAATGGCAGATTCGACAGGTCTCAAGAGGAATCTCTGTTTCAGGCTCGGGCAAGGGCCCTCAGCAGGAGGTCAGTCGTCCTGCGGGGCCTCTTCCAGTAGAGCGAGTTCATCGAAGGAGCTTCTTTGGTGGTTGGGGTATCCGCCTCCTCCCCCCCCCCCCCCCCTCGCAGTCGGCGTTGGAGCTCAGGCGCTTGGGGCCCCGAGGGAGGGGGGATTTTCATTGAAACTCACCCACGCGACTTCCGCCCTGCACTTTCCGGGCCAGAGAGGGAGCAGAGGGGCATGAAGAACGGATGGCGATTGCTTGGGCCCCGATTTGCGCATTGATGAAACTGGTCCTTTACAACCCGCTGGCGGCGAGTATTACGGACGGACTGGGCGAAATTAGCAGAGCGCTACGGGAATGGGATGTGATTGCGCTGACTGGGGCGCATCAGTGGGAAGGGCCTGAACCGATGAAACAAGCCAGCCAAAGGTGCCATGTGACGGGCAATATCTGGAAAACAGGTTTTTAACCAATGCGGAACTGTTGAGGGCAACCGCGGAGAGAGCAGGTGCAACCAGAGCCTGAGGCGCTACCATTGCGCTGCCCTTCCGCAGCCTCTCTGGGACAAAAGTTATCATGGTGGCGGAGCATGGCGGAGCTGGCTACGGCCAACCCCCACTGGCCGCACCCCCCGCGGCTAGGGGCGCTGGCCATAGCTCTCGCGGCCGCGGCCGGAGGGCGAGCTTTGATCCACGGCGACCAGCTGGCGCAGCAGCCGGACAAGGTCTACGTGACCAAGCAGCTGGACGAGGTCTGCGTGACCAAGCAACTGGACAAGGTCTACGCGACCGCAGGAGCGCTGAACGAGGTCTGCGTGACCACAGAGCGCTGAACGAGCTCTACGTGACCACAGGAGTGCGCGACGAGGTCTACGTGACCACAGCAGAAGGACGAGGTCTACGTGACCATAAAGCAGAAGGACGAGGTCTACGTGACCACCGAGCAAAACGAGGTCTACGTGACCACCAACGAGCAGAATGGGGTTTCCGTGACCACAGACAAGCACTATGAGGTCTAGGTCTACGTGACCACAGACGAGGAGTACGAGGTCTACGTGACCACAGACCAGGAGTACGAGGTCTACGTGACCACCGACAGGCAGGACGAGGTCTACGTGACCACCGGCGAGCAGGACGAGGTCTACGTGACCATGACGGAGCCTGGTGCTGAGTGGCAGGGCTTCGGGCTGAAGCCACCAACGTTCGACGGCCACGAGGAGGCGTGGACGGAGTGGAGTTTCGTGATGGGGGCGTACCTGGGAGGTCAAACGGCGCATGGGCTGAATCTCTTGGAGGCGGCTGAGCAGCGAGGAGACCCAGGCATCAGCGTGGTGGAGACCTCGCCTCGTCTGGGAGCTGAAGCTGGCTGGTCCACCACGGGGGGGCATCATATTGAGGATTTGCAGCGTCGCTAACATCATCATCCTCGCTGTCGTTAGCATCATCACCGTCATCACGCAACCAGCAGTTGTCATCATCGTCGCCACCATCATGAAGATCACCATCGCCATCATCGCCATCACCATCATTGTCATCATCATCACCATCATCATCATCGTCATCCACAGCGGTTTCGGCTCTCGGACGCGAGTAGCTCGCTTTTGCTTTTCGCGCTCCCCCCAACCACCAGCAGCCGCCATGGGCACTATGAGGGCAGGCGATGCGGGGGCCCCGTCGCCTGCGAAGAAGGCGGCGGCCGCAGCGGCCTCAACAGCCGCTGCCTTTGGCGCGCCGCCCGCCGCTGCCTTTGGCGCGCCGCCCGCCGCTGCCTCTGGCGCGCCGCCCGCCGCTGCCTCTGGCGCGCCGCCGGCCCAGTGCATCGCGCAGCTCCTCGAGACGGACCAGTCGATGCAGCAGGGTCACGTCAAGGAGTGGGTGCGCCAAGTGAAGCACTACGTCGACCATAGTTTGCTCAGCTTCCTGGGGCAGCGCAAGCGCGAGGTGTCCTTCGCGGTGCCCGCCAAGTGTTATTTGATTCCGCCGTTGGCCATCACTGATGCTGCCTCTGGCGCAAACCTCAGTTCGTTTCGCGAGGTCATGGACTACGACAACCTGGTTGCGAGCTTCTCCCGCACCAAGGAGTGCGAGGCAGCGGGGGCGGCGTGGATGTTGGACCCGGCTTGCTCGGACATCGACGACGTCACCGTGAGCCAGCTCGAGGGTGCCATGGGCATGTGGTCGGAGGAGGCGTACTCCCTTTCCTCCAATCACGCGCCCTCGCGGCGCCTCTCCTTCGACGCGCCTATCCCCGCCTTGGTGGTCGACGTCAAGGTCGCCCAGCGGTTTGAGCCTAACAAGCTTGGAGTTTGCTTGACAGAGGCTCTGGCCATGCTCGCGGGGCGCGCGGTGGTCATCACGTGGCGTGCTGCTATGAGCGAGGCGCTCCAGCAGTCCAACGAAGACCGCGCGTGGCATGTGTTCAATGCCGCGTTGTCCGTGCCCATCAGGATGCGTTTGCTGCCTGATGGCGACGCGACCCACTTGGCCGCTCTGGCATTTTCAGAGAAGATGTTCTCTGCGTATGCTGCCTCTGGCGCTGAGTCCTTCTGGCGGTTCGCAGAAAAAGCGTGCCGCTTGACCAGCGTGGAGAACTGTTTCGCCAAACAGGACCAGTGTCGAAGCTGGAGGCTGCGCTGAAGGCCTACGGCCTCCAGCTCACAGGAAAAGCGCGCACCACTGCAACCGCCGCGGCGCTGAAAGGTCTGCGCCCTTTCGTCCTCGACGGCGCCTGCAGTTCGGCTTTCGCGCTGGCCGAAGTGCATTTTCCAGAGCTTCGCGACCGGGCGCTTCTCATGGGGATCGGCTTCGCCTGCTCCGCGAGGGGTGGTTCTGACGCCAAGGCCAGGGAATTGCTCGTTTTCATCATGAACAGTTTCCGCGTGGCCCGCTTGACGGGCGACGTCCCGAAGGGCGGGAAACTGGTCGTGAGCCGGGCCGTCGGGCGCGATAGCAAGACGCCAGGGATGCTCCACGCGCTCTTCAAGAAAAAGGAGCTCGTCGAGTACATCTTTCACGAGGCGTTTCTCATAAACAAGGAAGTGGGGAACGACGTGGCGGCATGTAAGACGCCTCTCCACATCCTCCAGAAGTTCGCTGCCTCTGGCGCGGATGGGCTCGTGGCGTCGCGACTCAGGCGGCGGCGCCGACGGGGTGGAGACATATTTTGCGCTCCCCGTGGCTGAGCATCGGAACACCGTGGATGTCAAGACGAAGGCGATGATCGACGTCGCGTGGTCTCTGTGGTCGAGCGCTTTCGACGACGAAATTGCCGAGCTTGCCCAGCAGGAGTTGCAGAACAGCACCACTGCGTTCGTCTGGCACGCGTACCTCACCGAGACCAGCCAGGGCGCTGGTGCCAAGTACCGCGTCTTCGTGGCCGCGTGCACGGGCGGGCCCATCACCGCCGACCCCGATGAGGATGCAAATTTCGGCTTGTTGGGGATATCCGAGCTCGGGGACGAGCAAAAGGCAGAGCTCCAGAAGCTCCAGGAGCAGCTCGAGCAGCTCCGCAGGAAAACTGTGAAGTTCGTCAGTTTGCCGTCTGTCGGCGGTGCCTCTGGCGCGGAGTACGCAATGGCGCAGATGCAAGGCTTGTGGGATGCGCTCAGCCTCGGGCGCCGCTTCGGGAGGAAGAAGAATGACGTTCGCGTGTTCATCCTCTCAGCGGACTTGTTCCCGCCCAACGTCGTCAAGCAAGGCGCCAAGGCGAGGGGGAACGAGCAGGTGGCGTGTGACGAGGCGAAGTTCAAGCGCGTCATCGAGTCCTGGTTGCAGAAGAGGCAGAAGGATGATGTCCTCATCTTCCTCGACGGCAGGAGCCGCGCGAACCGCAGGGTAATTGAGTCCTTCGATGCGAAGTTGGAGTCAGGAGGCACCCACGCGTACGTCGAGCGCTGGTTCGTGCACGAGCAACCGGCGAAGAAGGCGGACCCGCGGTCCGCGGCCAGGGCGTCGAGCTACACGAAGAACAACAGTGAGACAGCCATTTTCTCGATGCCACTCAAGGGCCCGCCGCGGGAAGTGCTGCACCGTGCGGAGTTCAACGCGTGCGGCGAGTCCTCGACCGCAGACACGTCATACAGCGGTATCCCAATGCGGCGTTTCTCCGAGCTCCCTCGCATGGACCACGAGACGAAGATGAACATCTTGGGAGCTGCATCTTGCGCTAGCGTTGACGGGAAGCAACCGCGCCTGCAGGGGGACATCGACTCGAAGGGCCACCCGTTCTCGCACACCGAGGTGAAGCCGCTCAGCTTGTGGCAGACTCTCGTGGAGCACCACAAAGTGACCCACGCCGTAGACTTCACTCCAGGTTCTGGCGCTTTGGCTGTTGCTGCCTCTGGCGCAATTGAGTACGAAGGCTTCGCTGCCAACGATGCGCACCAGGACTGGCTCGACTCCATCGTGGACAGGTGCGCGATGCACAAGGCGGGTCACGAGGAGGGGTACGCGGAGCAATTGGGCGGCGACGCCGAGTTCGTCGAGAAAGCCAGCAAGTCAGCGGAACCACGATGGAGGCGAAACGTCTGTTGATGCCAGTGGCCGTGGACTGCGAGGATGAGGAGGAGGAGGATGGCGCGAGCTCGGACGACGAGTAGGTGGGCATTTGACACACTGCCTCTGGCGTGCCACGACGCTGCCTCTGGCGCGCCCGTTCCCGCGTGAGAGGTCGCTCGAGCATTCGTTTCCGAGAGGGGCCCAGTGTCATCGGTTCTGAGGATGAGTTCTGCGGCGGCGCGCGACAGTGATGTAGGCCCCGCGGCTGTCGGCGGCGTCGGCTCTTCTGGGGCGCGAATTCTGCGGCAGCGATGAGCTCGGACATATCGCACCCGCCGCTGCCATCGCCGCAGGTCGCGGCGGTCGCGATGTCGCCGTCGTCATCGCCATCGGCGCAATCATGCTATTTATGCTTCTGTTCCGTCATGTTCCCATGGTATTGGTTGCCATATCCCACATCTCGTGCTCAGTTTTCCTATGGTCGCGCTTAGTTTTCTCATGGTCGGGTTTAGTTTTCCCCTGGTCGGGTTTAGTTTTTCCTTTGGTCGGGTCTAGTTTTTCTCTGGTCAGGTCTAGTTTTCCCTTGGTCGGGTGTAGTTTCCCCCTGGTCGGGTCTGGTTGTTTTCCCAGATCACCCCGAACATCCATTAGGACCTCGCCACAGCTTTCCGTCACATTTCGGCTCGAGCCCGCTGCTACCCAGTGCTCCTCGCTTCGCCAATAGCGCATTCATTTTCCCTTATTCCGCCGTGCGCGAAGCCGCTGCCTCTGGCGCGTCGCGAGCTGCGCGGTCTCCATGGCGGCACAATGGCCGCACTACGAGACCGCGCGCGTCGAAGCGGTCGAAGCGTACCTGCTGGAGCAACGCGTCAGCGACAAGAAGATCACTTAGCGCACCGTGCTGAATAACCATGCCTCGACGCGCCCTCAGGTGTACGGAGGCGCTTTGGTCCCAGCCGTCAGCAAGTGCAAGGAGTGCGCTGCCTCTGGCGCGGGCTGGCGGTGCACCCTGACTTTGCCGAACAGCTTTGCGCCAGGAGATGGCCGTCGGCTCGTTGCGATAGGGGAAAGCGCGACGAAAGCGGAAGCGTCGGGACTCGCTTGCCTCCGAGCCGTCGCTTCGCTCGTCAGCGAAAACCCAGGCCAGTTTGTGCTCCGACCGAAGCGCTGGAAGGCGCCGCCCGACGAGCTCGTGGCCAATATGCCAGGCGCCGCAGCCGACCCTGCCCCCGGCGGGCGCGCGCTGCCAGCGCACACCCCTGCGCGCCTCCAGGGTGCGGGCTCGGAGGCTAAGGCGCCTGACGCTGACGCGCGCTTGGTTGAACTAGTCCGCAACGTTCACAAAACGCACGGCGGCGAGTTCGATCCGTCGCGGATTTCCCGCAACAAGTTGTGGTGGCGCGACGAGCGCGGGTTCGAGACGTTCAACAAGCTTTTGGCGCCTGGGGGGCTGAAGGACTTCCTGGACAGACACTCCGACGAATTCGCCTGGTGCGAGAAGGCCGACAACAAAGGCATGCTCATCGCATGGGCGAACTGGGCGCGGCAGGAGGAGCGCGCCCCGCCATGGGCGCGCCCCGCCGTGGGCCAAGTGGACGCAGGCACTGCCCCGCCGTGGCGAGCGCGCCCCAACACGAAGTGGTCTCAGGCAGCTGCCTCAAGCGGCCGAAGGGTGCCCGCCAACTGACCGCCCTCAGGAAGCGGCCTCAGGAAGCGGCCAGAATGCGCTGCCTCTGGCGTGCCCCGACAATTCACCGCCCTCAGGAAGCGGGCAGAACAAGAGCAACCCTTGGGAAGACCTTCGCTAGGAGATGGTTGCCCGAGACACTGCCTCTGGCGTGGCCGACTCACTGCCTCTGGCGCGCTCTCGACGCTGCCTCTGGCGCGCCTTCTGAGGCCAAGGCGGCGTCGCGGCAGCTGGCGCCGCGACACTTGCGAGCGGAAAAACTAGTCGTCGTCATCACCGTCATCGTAGTCGCCATCATGACCACCGACATCATCAGCGCAATCAGCGACGCCATGACCACCGACACCGTGACCAGGGAAAAAAAGACCCGTCTTGTTATCTACATACTTTGTCGATTCCCGAGTTCCAGGACCCAAGGGCACTTCCCAAGAGGATTTCCCGACGGCAACTGCGCATCCGGCACCGCGCCCTACAACGACGCGATCTCCAACGGAAGGTGCAACGAGCATTCCGACGTCGGATCTACGGTCTCACCCATCCCCATTTCCGCGTAAGCCCACCCATCCCCACTTCCGCGTAAGCCTCCACAAAAAAAACAGAGTCATGCTGGCGCGGGGGGCGCACGGGCCCCCGCAATATGTCTTCCGAAGCGTTTGGGACGCAGAGAGATCCCGACCGAGCCCCTTGGAGTCGTCAACTTGGGGGGCTTTTGACTTCGGTTCGAAGCCCCTTTGGCCCCAAATGGGCGGGTTTGGTATCCACTCCGAAGCTGAGTCGGGCACCATCGCCAACTACCACGCCAACGCCGACGACATTGAGCACCGTAACAACGGTAACACTGACTCTGGATACTGATGTGGCTTTGGTATGGCCTCATTGTGCCGATCACGGACCCCCGACTCCGGCTCCAACCGATTGGTGTAACATATTCCGGAATCCGACGACCTACGACAGCTTACACCGCGATTGGCATTACACATGTAATGGGCACGATTGCGGCAGATGTACAAGGTTTCGACACCGGGTCCGACACAACACATGGGACCATGGTGGGAAATACACAACAGTCCGGACTATGGTGGATATCTTCCGGCACGACTGGCATGGACTTGCGGACCAGGGAAAATTAAGAAAATTAGACCCCACCATGTGACAAATCGACCCCACCATGGGACAACTAGATCCGACCAGGGAAAAACTAGGCACGACGACTGGGAAAACTAGATCCGACCAGGGAAAAATTAAACCCGCCCAGAGGGAAAACTAGCCCCGACCAGCGGAAAAAAACTAGACCCGACCAGGGGATAACTAGACCCGACCACGGGAAAATTAGGCCCGACCAGGGGCAAACTAGACCCGACCAGGTGGGAAATATACCCGACCAGAGGACAACTAGGTCCGACCAGCAAAGGAAAACTAAATCCGACCAAGGAAAAACTAGGCCCGACCACAGGGAAAACTAAACCCGACCAGGGGAAAAACTATGTCCGACCAAGGGAAACTAGGCCCGACCAGAGGAAAACTAGATCCGACCGGGGAAAACTAAACCCGACCACAGGAACAATATACCCGACCAACGGAAAACTAGGTCCGACCAGGGAAAAACTAAACCCGCACAAGGGACAACTAGATCCGACCACAGGGGCAACTAAACGCGACCAGGGGAAAAACTTGACCCGACCAAAGAAAACTAGACACGACCAGGGGAAAATTAGACCCGACCAGAGGAACACTAGATCCGACTGGGGAAAAATTAGGCCCGACCATAGGAAAAATAAACCCGACCAGCGGAAAACTAGATCCGACCAGGGAACAATTAGACCCGCGCAAAGGAAAACTAGAGCCGACCAGGGAAAAAAACCATGCCCGACCACAGGGACAACTAGACCCGACCAGAGGAAAACTTTCACCCGACCAGGGGAAAAATTAAACCCGACCAGTTGCAAACTAGACCCGACCAGAGGAAAATTAGATCAGACCGAGAAACAACTAGATCCGACCAGGGAAAAACTAGGCACGACGACTGGGAAAACTAGATCCGACCAGGGGAAAAATAGACCCGCCCAGAGGACAACTAGATCCGACCAGGGAAAAACTTGGCCCGACCACAGGGAAAACTAGACCCGACCAGGGGAAAAGCTTGACCCGACCAGGGGAAAACTAGACCCGACCATGGGAAAACTAGACCCGACCAGAGGAACACTAGGTCCGACCGAGGAAAATCTAGACCCTTCTCAAGACAAAATGTCCCGACCAGCGGAAAACTAGGTCCGACCAGGGAAAAACTAGACCCGCGCAGGGGAAAATTATATCCGACCAGGGAAAAACTAGGCCCGACCACAGGGGCAACTAGGCCCGACCAGGGGAAACATTAATCCCGACCAGGGGAAAACTAAACCCGACCAGGGGAAAACTAGGCCCGACCAGGGGGAAATTAGGTCCGACCGGGGAAAAACTAGACCCGACCACCGGAGAAATAAACCCCAGCAGCGGGAAACTAAGTCCGACCATGGAAAAACAAGACCCGCGCAAAGGAAAACTAAGTCCGACCAGGGGAAAACTAGACCCGACCACAGGAAAAACTGGACCCGACCAGGGGAAAAACTGGACCCGACCAACGGACAACTAGACCCGACCAGGGGAAAGCTATTCCCGACCAGAGGAAAACTAGGTCCGACCGGGGGAGAACTACACCCGACCAGGGGAACAATTCACCCGACCAGCATACAATTATGTCCGACCAGGGGAAAAATAGACCCGACCAGCAGAAAACTAGGTCCGCGCAGAGGAAAACTAGATCGGACCACAGTGAAAACTAGGCCCGACCATAGGGAAAACCAGACCCGACCAGGGGAAAAACTAGACCCGACCATGGAAAAATTAGGCCCGACCAGAGGAAAACTATATCCTACCGGGGAAGAATTACACCCGACCACTGGATAAACAAACCGCCGCAGCGGAAAACTATGTCCGACCAGGGAAAAACTAGACCCGCGCAGAGGAAAACTAAATCCGACCAGGGAAAAACCAGGCCCGACCACAGGGGCAACTAGGCCCGACCAAGGGAAAAATTGGACCCGACCAGGGGAAAGCTAGACGCGACCAGGGGAAAGCTAGGCCCGACCATAGGAAAACTAGGCCCGACCGGGAGAAAACTAAACCCGACCACCGGAAAAATTCACCGGACCAGCAGAAAATTAGATCCGACCAGGGAAAAACCAGACCCGCGCAAGGGAAAACTAGATCCGACCAGGGAAAAACTACGCCCGACCACGGGGAAAATTATACCCGACCAGGGGACAAA